GTGGGGGGTGTGGGCCCCCCCCCCCCCCAGAAATGGCTCTGGGGGCAGCCCCCTCCCCCAAATGGATCTTTGGAGCTGGGCCTGGCAGCCCCGGGGGGCACATCCCGGTGGTCAGTCCCAAAAACACTGCAGCAGGTTCCTGGGGGTGCCTCCCTCCAGACCGGAGGGCTGCTCTCCGGGGATACCCCACCCCGGTGGGCACAGCCCTGGGGTACCCCCTGACACCCCGGAAGGCTGGTCCCTGTGACACCCCTGTCCCCCTGAGACACCCCTGTCCCCCTGAGACACCCCTTTGCCCACGGGACACCCCTTTTCCCCTGTGACATCCCTCCCCCTGCCCCTCTGTCCCCCTGTCCCCGGGCTCTCACCAGTCCAGGTCCAGGCCCGCGGCCGTGGCCAGCCCGTGCAGGGCCAGCGCGCTCAGGAGCAGCCCCAGCGCCGTCAGCAGGAAGAAGCGGACCTTGAGGAAATTGGGGGGCCGGCGCTGCAGCCCCCAGCCCAGAGCCATCCCTGGCGGCGGGGACAGGCGGGGTCGGCACTGGGATGCGCTGGGAAGGGGCTGGAGGGAAGGGGAAGGGGCTGGGGTGCGCTGGGAAGAAGGGGCTGGAGGGAAGGGGAAGGGGCTGGGGCGCGCCCCTCACCTGCCAGGGAGCCGGTGATCACCTGATGGGGGAAGTGGGCCAGGACGAAGACCCGGGAGAGCCCCATGGCCACCAGCAGCAGGATGTAGAGCAGGAACGGGATCAGCCTCAGCAGCCGGCTGGAAGGGAACGGAGCAGGGAGGGGGCGGGATGGAGGAAAGCACAGCTGAAGGGGGCTACAAAAAAACCCCGGGGGGCATTCAGGGGGTCTCTCCCGAGCTGCCAGAGGAGGGATTTGTCCCCCTGGAACCGCCCTGCTGGGAGGGGAGGGATTCTAATCACCATCCATGGGTGCTGCACACTGAGTGGGGGTCCCACTCCCAGCCCCTCTTCCCTCTGGAAGCTGCCAAGGGACTGAGCGGGGGTCCCACTCCCACCCCCTCTTCCCTCTGGAAGCTGCCAAGGGACTGAGCGGGGGTCCCACTCCCACCCCCTCTTCCCTCTGGAAGCGGCCAAGGGACTGAGCGGGGGTCCCAATCCCACCCCCTCTTCCCTCTGGAAGCCCCCAAGGGACTGAGCGGGGGTCCCAATCCCACCCCCTCTTCCCTCTGGAAGCCCCCAAGGGACTGAGCGGGGGTCCCACTCCCACCCCCTCTTCCCACGGGTGCTCTGGAAGCTCCCAAGGGACGGTGTCTCCATCCCGGGACTCCTCCTGCCTGCTCTCCGTGGGTTCTGCCCCACAGGAACGCCCCCACATCCCACCCCCCCCGTTCCCACAGAGGCTCGGGGCGCTGCCCCTGCCCGTCCCGGACTCACCTCCGGGTGTACCTGGATAGCGCCTTGCTCAGGGCGGTGACAATCGGCCACAGGGCCGCCCCCAGGATCATGCAGTGGCCCGAGGGGCTCCCTGGGGGATGAAACACAGGGGGGTCCGCGTCCCGGCAGGGGAGAGCTGGCAATGTCCAGCCCAACCCTTCCCGCTGCTCAGGAATGGCTTTTCCCACCTCCAGCCCAGCGCTCCCACACGGGGGGGCTCCTGCGGCTCCTCCCCGGGGGTCGCGGGGCTGCCCGAGCTGGGGGCTCACCTGGTCCGGTCTCGCAGGTGATCGGGAACTGGCGCAGCGGGAGCTGCTCCCGCTCGGACAGCCCCGACTCGTGGATCCACCAGTACGGGCGCTCCCCGAACAGGAACCTGCGGCAGCGACAGCGGGGGGCGTGGGAGAGAGCCCCGGCACCGGGACACGACCCCTGCAGCCCATCCCGAGAGCCCCGGCACCGGGACACGACCCCTGCAGCCCATCCCGAGAGCCCCGGGACCGGGACACGATCCCTGCAGCCCATCCCGAGAGCCCCGGCACCGGGACACGACCCCTGCAGCCCATCCCGAGAGCCCCGGCACCGGGACACGACCCCTGCAGCCCATCCCGAGAGTCACGGCACCGGGGCACGATCCCTGCAGCCCATCCCGAGAGCCCCGGGCCCGGGACACGATCCCTGCAGCCCATCCTGAGAGCCCCAAGACTGGAACAGGATCCCTGCAGCCCATCCCGAGAGCCCCGGGACAGGGGCACGATCCTTGCAGCCCATCCTGGGGGATCCAGGGGGGCATGATCCCTGCAGCCCATCCTGAGAGCCCCAAGACCGGAACAGGATCCCTGCAGCCCATCCCGAGAGCCCCGGGACCGGGACACGATCCCTGCAGCCCATCCTGGGATCCAGGAGAGCAGGATCCCTGCAGCCCATCCCACAACAATCCCATCCCCAGGGTTGAAGCCACAGAGGATCAGGATCCCTGCAGCCCATCCCTGGGATTTCCAGCAGAGCAGGATCCCTGCAGCTCATCCCAGGATTTCCAGCAGAGCAGGATCCCTGCAGCCCATCCCAGGATGAAGCCACAGAGGATCAGGATCCCTTTCCAGCCCCGATGCCTCCCGGGCTTTTCTCTGCCAGGAATTCCTGGCAGATGCTGGGGCAGCTCGGGTGACCCTGCAGAATGCCACAGGCAGGGAGCACCTGCCCAGAATGCCACAGGCAGGGAGCAGGAGTGTCCCAGTGCCCCCCCTCCACGTGCCCCCCTCACCACTTGAGCACCACGTTGAGCCACTCGGCCACCAGGGCGATCCAGAGGACCATGAGGGACACGTGCTCGTCCAGGCCGCGGGCCAGCGGGAAGCAGACGGTGTAGATGGAGTTGGGATCCAGCTGGGAGCTCAGGAAGAGCCAGATCTGCTCCAGCCAGGGCGGCCCAGCCTGCAGGGCCACGGCGGCGTGGATCCCGGCCTCGTGCAGGGCATCCATGGCACTGGGCTGGGACACAGCAGGGAGATCAGCCCCGGCACAGATCCCCTGGGATCCCCTGGGGACAGGCTGGGAGGTGGCTGGATCCCTTGGGGACAGGCTGGGAGGTGGCTGGATCCCCTGGGATGCCTTGGCACTGGTTCAGGCAGTCATTCCCCACTCGAAGTTCGCCCACAAGTGGCTCCCAGGTTTCTGGCCGAGGGCAGAGCACACCCGTGCCTCTGGGACGGGGCCAGGCCCGGATCCCGGCGGTTGCTCTGGGATTTGCTGGAGCGGCTGAGATGCTCCAAAGAGCCACCACCTCCCTGGGGCTTTCCCTTGGAAACCTCCTGGGTCTCCTGTGGCCATTCTGCACGAGGCCTGGGCTCTCCCTGGGGTCTCCCCGAGCCACCCTTGCTATTCCTTGGCGCTTCCCGGGGGTCTCCCTAAGGCGGCTCCTGGGGTCCCTCGGGGCCTCCCTGTGCTCTCAGGCCCGAGGCCTCCCTGGGGTCTCCCTACATCAGGGCCGCGGCCTCCCCATTCCCACCAGCAGCCTCTGAGCCTCCCGGTGGCGCTGCCCACCCCCCGGTACCGGCGGGAGGTACCTGAGGGGGGGGCTCCATCCCGGGGACCCCTCAAAACTCCCTCCCGCCGCTCTCAGCGCCCTCTTCCGCCTACACTTCCCATCACTGCCCGCGGGGCGGCGCGCTACGGCGGGGCGGGAGGGACAAACCGCGGCCGGGCAGGCGTCAGCCAATCAGAGCGCTGGGCGGAGCAGATCGGCGGGGCGGAGCACCAATCCCCGCCCTCGCTGCCGCGCGGCCCCGCCCCCGCCGCGCCTGGCCGAGGCGAGCGGAGCCGCGGGCGCTGCGGGCGGACAAGATGGCGGCGCCGGGCGAGTACTTCAGCGTGGGCAGCCAGGTGTCCTGCCGCACCTGCCAGGAGCAGCGCCTCCAGGGCGAGGTCGTCGCCTTCGACTACCCCAGCAAGATGCTGGCGCTCAGTATCCACCCGCCCGCGCCTCGCCGCGCTGGTCCCGGCCCCGGCGCGGCCCGCTCGGGCCTCTGCGGCCCGCCCGATGAGGGGGGGGGAGGCGTGAGGGAGGGAGGGGAAAGGGGGGAAGGAGGGGAGGGGGTGTGAGGGGATCGAGGTGGGCGGCGACAGGGAGGGGTTTGAGGGGTAGCGGGAGACCCCCGGGGGATGGGGGGAGCGGGGAGTCCGCTCGGGAGGTTTTTTGGGGGAATTGGAGAGGTTTGTAGTGGGGTGAATGGGGGGATTGGGGAGCTAGTGGGGGGTTTGGGAGCCCGTACTGGGGGGAGTGGGGGATGGAGGGGCCCTGAATGAGAAAGAGCTTCTCGGGGGGAGCGGGGAGCTCTGTACTGGTTTGAATGGGGGCAGAGAGAGCACCCAGTTTGGGGGAGAATGGGGGGGACTGTGGTGTCCTGGAGGTTTTTTTGGGGGGGTGGGCAGTGAGGAATCCTATAGTGGTGTGAGTGGGGGTGTGGCATTGACTGTAGGGGGTTGGGGAGCCTTGTGTTGGGGTGAGTGGGGGCAGTGGGGTGCTCCCTGGCCTCCCCCCCAGTGTGAATATACATGGATATGGTTTTGTTTGGAATCTGCAAGGAACGGGAAAAGCTGAGAGCTGTTGGAAAGCAGTGGAGGGTCCCAGGAGAGGGGAGGGAAGGGTTGGAGTTCTGGGGGAGCCCAGGGGTGGGTTCTGCAGGGAATGAGGAGCTGGGAGAGGGTTTTGTGGCTGGAGCTGTGGGAAACACAACAGGAAAAGGCCCCCTGGGATGTGGTTGGAGCCAGGGGAGCTGCCAGGTCCCACTGGAGGCAGCAGCAAAGTCTCAGAGGGTCCAACAGGTTGCTCAGTGCTGCTTGTCAGCCCCACGGGGGGCTGGGCCCTTCCCAAAATCCAGCTGTTCCTGCCACAGCTGGGGGGCTCCAGCTCATCCCCCAAAGCGGGGACTAGAATTGCCTGGCTTTCTGCTCGCCACTGAAGGGTGTGTTTTAGGGAGGGCTCCACCTGGTGCTCAGGGGGCTGGGAGAGGAACAGGGGCTTCCATGAGGATCTCTTCCAGGGGGAGATGGTGTTGGCATGGAAGAGGCTCTCCATGCTGTGCTTCCTGCTCCATCCATCCATCCATCATCCATCCCCCATCCATCCATCCATCCATCATCCATCCATCCATCCATCATCCATCCATCCATCATCCATCCATCCATCCATCCATCCATCCATCCATCCATCCATCCATGCATCCATCATCCATCCATGCATCCATCCATCCTCATGGGAGCAGAGGAATTGTGCAGGAATCCCTGTCAACTCTGGAAGGGATGGGATTTTTTTAGTGGTGCTGTCTCATTCCCAACAACCAACCTTGTGTGTCCCTCTCCTGGGAGCTCCCTTCCTTCCAGAGCAGGGAATGCTCCTGGGGATGCTGCTGCCTGCAGGAGGAAAGAGTTTTGGTGGGAAAAGTACAAATTTGGTGGTGCTGGTTCAGGCCAGTGGTGGTGGTGGGCTGGTGCTGGTGGACCAGGACTGGAAAACTCAGTCTGGAGTTGGGATAGAGCAGGATCAACACCAACCAGTGCAAAGGGAGATGAGTGAGATGGGATCACTGATGATCCCAACTGGGGGCACGGGAGCAGAGGAGCTTCCCACAAACCCAACCTTCTCCTGGTTTGCTCCTGGGCCGTGTCCCACCTACAAAAACCTCTCCCTGGATTTGTTTTCCTTAATCCCCTCCTCCAGAATGCCCCTCTTCCAGTGGCAAGCCCAACCACGCAGACATCCTGCTCGTAAACTTACAGTACGTGTCAGAAGTGGAAATAATCAATGACCGCACGGAAACGCCTCCCCCTTTAGCCTCCCTCAACGTCAGCAAGGTGAGAGAGCCCCTCAGCAGGGATCCCCCAGAATCCTGCAGGGATCCCCCAAAATCCTTCAGGGATCCAGCAGGATTCACCACTGGAGCTGCTCCCAGTGCAGCTTCCGGAGTTCCATCCTGGATCTGGGGTTTGGTGATTTGGGCTCTGGGTTTTGGCAGTTTGGGGCCTGGATTTTGTTGGGTTTAGTGTCTGGGCTTTTGGCATTTAGGGCCTGGTTTTTGGGTGGTTTTGGAGCCTGGATTTTATGTCTAGATTTTTGGTGTTTGGGGATCCGGATTTTGGTATTTTTGGGGTCTAAGGTGATCTTGTTTTGGGACTTGCATTTTGAGGGGTTTGGAGCCTCGGGTTTTGCTAGTTTGGGTCTAGGTGGTGGTGTCTGGGGTCTGGATGCTATTTTGGATCTAGATTTTGGCATTTTGGAGTGCACAGGAAGGGTAAAGGTGAACTCATAAAGGGGAACTCGTGGAATTCTGAGGAATTGCTTTACATCCATCCTGGAATGGGATCACTGCCAAATCCCAGTGATGTGAAAAACAGGGGAGGTGACCCCGAGCCCTCAGTGCTGGGATGAACCCAGGTGTGGCGTGCTCAGTTGTCACCTCCTTGTCCCACAGGGACACCTCTCCCGGGGCCTCATGCCACACAGGTGGCACCACCTGGGTGTCCATCCCCTCCTGGGTCCCTTCCCGATGGATTAAAACGTCCAAGGGCTCGGATGACACAGCTGCCACCACGATGTGACACTTGGCTGTCACTGCAGCGAGTGACATGGCTGGGAGCACAGCCCGAGGGGAACCCCCTCAGGAATTCCAGTGCTCACTTTGGGGAATCCCTCAGGAATTCCAGTGCTCACTTTGGGAAATCCCTCAGGAATTCCAGTGCTCAATTTGGGGGATCCCTCAGGAATTCCAGTGCTCAATTTGGGGAACCCCTCAGGAATCCAGTGCTCAATTTGGGGGATCCCTCAGGAATCCAGTGCTCACTTTGGGAAATGCCTCAGGAATTCCAGTGCTCAATTTGGGGGATCCCTCAGGAATTCCAGTGCTCACTTTGGGGAACCCCTCAGGAATCCAGTGCTCACTTTGGGGAGCCCCTCAGCAATTCCACTGCTGACTTTGGTCTTCTCCAGCACCCCAGAATTGTGGGTTTGGTGTGTGGGGCAGTGCCAGCTGCAGCTGGGTTGGAAGGGGCTGTTCCAGGGCAGGAGGGCCGTTCCGTGGCTCTGCCCCACATCCCCATGGGGGCTCAGGCCTGGGAGGGTGGTGCTGGTACTGGTTGGACTGGGAGAAGGAGCTGTGTGCACATGGGAGTGCTGGCAGCACTCCAGGGAGCCCAGAGAGTTGGGGACTTTTGGGGACACCCCTGTCCCACGGGGCTGGCACTCCCCTGAGGACCTTGGCACAGCCATCCGGTGCCAATGCAGTGAGATTTTGGAGGGATCCCCTTGATCTCCCCAGCCTGCTGGCACCCAAGTGGGGTAAGGGGCCACCCTGGCCCTGGGGGACCCTGGCATGGCCCCTGGTGGCCCTGGCATGAACCTTGGTGGCCCCCAAGGTCCCTCCTTGCCTGGTGCTGTGAATTCCCAGCCACTGATGAGGTGTGTGCAGGGAACTCCTCGGAGTGCTGGCATCCAGGGGCTGCAGCTGCAGGGCTGAGCCATTTCCTCTTGGGAAATGGGAACATTTCCTCTTGGGGTGGCCAGGGAGGGGGCTGATGAGCCCAGGGATGGACCCCGTGGCTCTTGGGAAATGGGAACATTTCCTCTTGGGGTGGCCAGGGAGGGCTCCCCTGCTGCAGGGAGCTGATGAGCCCAGGGATGGATCCCGTGGGAATGCTGGGGTGCTGCTGCTGGCACCTCTCCTGGGGGTTCCAGTCACCTCCTGGTGGCCTCTTGTCAGGGCTGTCCCCAAGTCTGGGTGCAGCAGATGCTGGAGGAGCATCCCAAGGCCTGGGACAGAGGGGATCCACCCTCAGGCTGGGGAGGGGGATCTGGTCTGGCTGGGAAGGGGATCTGCTCAGGGGGGACACGGCAGAGGGGATTCCCAGGGCTCTGTCCCACAGCTCCAGCCCGGTGTGGTGGGGGGATTCCACTTCTCCAGCCTTGGGGCAGCCCCCCTGCAGGGGTGAGGGGCTGTGGGACCCGAGGGAAGGCTGGGAAGGGTGTGGGGTGCAGGGAAGTTCTGTGGAACGTTGTGCCTGCTTTGGAAGCCTGGCTGGTGGTCTTGGAGAGAGCCATTCCCACATGGAATGGGGTGGGTGGCTTGTGAGGGTCAGGAAGGCTCCTGTCCCTGCTGAGGCATTCAGGGAGCACATGGAGACATCCCAGTGCTCCTGCAGTGCCTGCTCCCACCAAGAGGGGCTTGGGATGGCTGGGAGGGGGACTCCTGTCCCTGAGGGTCCCTAAAGTGTCCCCAGGCAGAGGGAGCTCGGGCTTTCCATCCTCAGAGGGGCTTTGGAAGGGGTGAGACCCCCCTCAGCCAGCAGCAGGAAGCCAGAGCAGCTCTGGGTGTGCTCCCAGGGATGAGGAGGCTCCAGGAGGAGGAAGAGGAGGGATGATGCTGGTGTGGCTCCTCCACTGCGGCAGCTCCAGCCAGGAAAAGGCAGCTGGTCCAAGGCTGCTGCCTCCAGGCTCTGCTTCCTTCTCCTCCCACATCCATGGGATTCAACATGGGGGAGGCCGGGGTCGGGGTTTTCCATCTCTATTCCAGCACCCTGTGTGTAATCACACCTCCCCACACACGGATGCGACTCCCAGATAACCAATTCTGGTTATTTTTTGGGAACAAACCAACTGCTGCAGGCTAAAGTTGCTCCTGCTCCTGCGTGGAGCATTTACTCCCAGCTTGTTGGGTGTTCCAGGCTCCTGTTCCCCATCTCCATCCCAAGTAAACTGAGTAGTGAGGGGGGGGTTTGCACCTAAAATACCAGAATTCATTCAGAAAAGGCCGAGGGGAAGGGGCAGGGGGATGTGAGAAGATGGCACCACCATTCCCAAATCTCTGGGAGGCCCTGGCAGTGGTGAGGGTGCCTCCAGAGGGGAATTCAGGCTGGAATCACAAGGGGCAGAGCCGTGTCTGGGGGGTCCCTGTGTCCCCTCTGCTCCCAGCCCAATCCCCCCCTGTCCCCGTGTTTCCCCAGCTTGCCAACAAAGCACGGACGGAGAAGGAGGAGAAGATGAGCCAGGCGTATGCAATTAGTGCTGGTGTCTCTCTGGAGGGGCAGCAGCTCTTCCAGACCATCCATAAGACGTGAGTGCCCACCTCGGGGTCCCCAGTGCCCGCCTCGGGGTCCCCACGCTCCTTTTTGGGGTCCCTCACAGCATTTTTGGGGCATTGCCATCTCTGGCTTTGCTCTGCTGTGTCCTGGGTGGGATCCTTGGTGGGGAGGGGGGCTCCCTGCCTGCTCCTGCTTCCTGCCTGGCACATCCCACCCCCCTGGACTCCCACCCCTCTGGGTGACCCTGGAGCGACCAGGGGGGGCTCTTTGCCCCCTCAGTGGGACACAAACCCACCCTGGGGGGGCAGCAGTGACGTTCCCTGATGCCGTTGTCCCTCCCCTCAGCATTAAAGACTGTAAATGGCAGGAGAAGAACATAGTTGTGATGGAAGAAGTCGTCATTGCCCCTCCCTACCAGGTGGAAAACTGCAAAGGCAAAGAGGGGAGCGCCCTGAGCCACGTACGCAAAATAGTGAGTGTGGGCTGGGGACAGGGCAGGGTGGCACGTGCTGGCAGGGTGGCACGTACTGGGCACAGCCAGGAGCCCCTCCTTGGCTGGGCTCCAGCCCCTCCTGGCATCCCCTTCCCTCTCCAGACCCCCCTGCCTCCCCTTTTTCAGTCGTGTGTTCAGAAGGGTGAGCAGGGCTGGGGATACTGGAAGGACTGGGCGGGTGTCACCTCCCTGGGGACACCTGAGACCCCTCCTGGCTTGGCTTCCAGCCCCTCCTGGGGGTTCTCCAGCCCCTCCTGGGGGTTCTCCATCCCCTCCTGAGGTTCTCCATCCCCTCCGGGGGTTCTCCATTCCCTCCTGAGGTTCTCCATCCCCTCCTGGGGTTCTTCATCCCCTCCTGGGGTTCTCCATCCTCTCCAGGGGTTCTCCATCCCCTCCTGGGGTTCTCCAGCCCCTCTGGAGGTTCCCCAGCCTGTCCTTTCTTGGCCTTCAGCCCCACCCAGGGTTCTCCATCCCCTCCCAGGGGTTCCCCATCCCCTTCTGGCATCTCCATCCCCTCCTGGGGTCTCCCCATCCCCTCCTGGTGTTCCCCATCCACTCCTAGGATTCTCCATCCCCTCCTGGTGTTCCCCATCCCCTCCTGGGGTTCTCCATCCCCTCCTGGCATCTCCCCATCCCCTCCTGGGGTTCTCCAGCCCCTCCTGGGGTTCTCCAGCCCCTCCCAGGGTTCTCCATCCCCTCCTGGGTCTCCCCATCCCCTCCCGGGGTTCCCTATCCCCTCCTTGTGTTCCCCATCCCCTCCTTGTGTTCCCCATCCCCTCCTTGTGTTCCCATCTCCCCATCCCCTCCCAGGGTTCTCCATCCCCTCCTGGTGTTCCCCATCCCCTCCTGGGTCTCCCCAGCCCCTCCAGGTCACCATTGTTCCTTCCCTGAGCCCCTGGGTTCCCCCTTCCCCTGCAGGTGGAGAAACATTTCCGGGACGTGGAAAGCCAGAAGGTCCTGCAGCGTTCACAAGCACAGCAGACACAGAAGGACACGTCCCTGTCATCCTGAGGCCACCTCGAGGCCACCACCCTGTCCCCGTGTCCCCTCCCCGGAGGCGGCGCCGGGGGCACCTTCAACTTTTATTTCCTTTTTTTTTTTTTTTTTTTTTTTTTTTTTTTTTTTTTTTTTTTTTTTTTTTGGGGAATCTCAACCAATTCCAAACTTTAGACTTCAAAAACAAAACGAGAAAAGAGAATAATTTAAAGCTCCTCTCACGCATTACTTGACTAACAGACTTTGTTTTTTTCCGCCATGGTTTCTCCCTCCAGCCAGTCAGACTCTGTTAATTTTATTTTTTGGCCTTTTTTTTTCTTTTTTCCTCCCAATTCCTGCCTCCCTTTTCCCCAAAAATCCCTCCAGAAAATAAAGCTAACGAGCTGACTGTGGTGGCTGACCCGGGACCCTCGTGATCAACGTGGTCTCGTTTTAATTTTGTTTGCACAGGGCAAGGCTTGAATTAGTCTTATTTTTCTTATCTTTAAATATATATATGAATATATATTAAAATATTCTTTAAATATTTGTCTGCTTTAGGGTCGTGGCAAAAAATCCCTCTTAACACCCCCTTGGGAGCAGCCAGAACCTGGATTTGGGGTTTTCCCCCCAATTCCTTTATGTTTTTAAATTTTTTTCCCCTTGTCCATTTAATTTTAAATTTCTTCTTTAATTTTAATTTTTTTTTTAATTTTTAATTTTCCTAAAGGAAGGGCTTGAATGGTTTTGAGTTTGGTCTTATTTTTTTTTTTTTTTAATTAAAATTTAAAAAAAGCAGATCAAACTCAAAACAATTCAAGCCCTGCCTTTAGGAAAATTAAAGATTAAAAAAAAAATTAAAAAAAGAAAAAAAAAAAGGAAAATTTTTTAGTCTTGTTTAGCAAAAAACAATAAAAACCCGAAATTTTTTTAACCATCACCGCAGTCTGTGGGGGCTCAATGGGGGCGTGGCCTCGCGAGGGGCGTGGTTAACCTGAGTGGGCGTGGTTTGGGTGGGCTTTGTTACTCCTTTATTATGGGGCGTGGCTTCGGCGGGGGGGCGTGGCCTGGCGCGGCATTTACAATGAATGTTCGTTTGATTGACGGGGCGCGGTTTAGGCCATGGCGGGGTTTTTGGGGGCAAGGCGCGGCCCAGGGCGGGCTGGAGGCTCCATGGGCGCGGCTGTTCCGGAGCGGGGCCGCGGTTTTGGTGCAGGAGCCGCCATTGAACGGAGGGGCGCGGCCTGAGGGTCATGAGGGCTCTCCAATTAAAGAGGCGTGGTTTGCGCCAGGGGGTGTGGCTTCCCCCTTGAGGGGCGCTGATTGGCCCTCGAGGCGGCTCTTCCTGCGCGGCATTTCCGGCGGGACGGCCCGGTAATGGCGGCGGGCCGCGGGTGGAGGCGGCGGGCGCTGCGCCTGCTGACGGCGGGCGGCGGCGTCCTGCTCACCCGCTTCCCCTTCTGGCACTGCTTCAGCGGGCTCCTGCTGTGCGCCGAGCGCGCCGACCTGCGCCGGTGCGCCTGGGGGTGCTCGTGGGGAGCCTGGGGCTGGGAAAGGCCTGCGGGTGGTTGTGAGGGCAGCGGCGGGTGTGAGGCTGGGCTGGCGGCCATCTGTGAGAGCCTGGGGGGCTTGTGGGGCCGGAGGGTCAGTGGGGGGTCTGGGGGAGTCTGGGGTGCAGAGGCTGCTGCGGGGCCCTGAGGGGCCGGGGGAGGCCCGAGGCCCTGAGGGGCCGGGATGGATCTGAGGAGCTGGGATGGATCTGAGGGGCCGGGGGTGGCTCTGAGGGGCTGTGGCTGGCCCTGAGGGGCCGGGGGGCTGGGACAGGTGACAGGGACCCTTGGTGGGGCTGGGGCAGGTGAGGTTTGAGGGGGCCACGGAGCTGCTGCCTGCGGCTGAGGGGAGACCCCGGCAGTGTCAGGGGCTGGAGGAGGGTCTGGGGTCTGGGAAGGGGACAGAGCAGCAGTGGGGACACAGAGGGGACACAGAGGGGCTCTGTGGGGCAGGGGGCTGTGGGGCAGGGGGCTGTGGCTGCCCCATGAGCCGGGGCAGGCTCTGGGGGTCCCGGGGTGGGCGCGGCGGTGCCGGAGCTGCCGTCCCCGCAGGAAGCCGGACATCCCGGTGCCATACCTGTACGTGGACATGGGCGTGGCCGTGCTCTGTGCCAGCTTCATGTCCTTCGGGGTCAAGCGGCGCTGGTTCGCCCTGGGGGCCGCCCTGCAGCTGGCTGTGGCCACCTACGCTGCCCACGTCGGGGGCCACGTGCACTATGGAGACTGGCTCAAGGTGAGACCCCCACCCCCGGTGTCCCCAGAGCCCCGGTTGGCACTGAGGGACAGCTCTGGGTGGCACTGAAGGCAGCCTTGGGTGGCGATGAGGGCTGGCACTGAGGGCAGACCTGGGTGTCACTGGGGGTGGCACAGGGGATGGCACTGAGGGCAGACCGGGTGGCACTGGGGCTGGCACTGAGGGCAGACCAGATGGCACTGAGGGCAGCCTGGGTGGCACTGGGGCTGGCAGTGAGGGCAGCCCGGGTGGCAGTGGGGCTGGCACTGAGGCTGGCACTGAGGCTGGCACTGAGGGCAGCCCAGGTGGCACGGGGGCTGGCACTGAGGCTGGCACTGGGGGTGGCACTGGGGCTGGCACTGAGGGCAGCCCGGGTGGCACTGGGGCTGGCACTGAGGGCAGCCTGGGTGGCACTGAGGCTGGCACTGAGGCTGGCACTGAGGGCAGCCTGGGTGGCACTGGGGCTGGCACTGGGGCTGGCACTGAGGGCAGCCCGGGTGGCACTGGGGCTGGCACTGAGGCTGGCACTGAGCTGGCACTGAGGGCAGCCCGGGTGGCACTGAAAGGTGGCACTGAGGGCAGCCCGGGTGGCAGTGGGGCTGGCACTGAGGCTGGCACCGAAGCTGGCACTGAGGGCAGCCTGGGTGGCACTGGGGCTGGCACTGAGGGCAGCCCAGGTGGCACTGAGGGTGACACTGAGGGCAGGCTGGGTGGCACTGAGGGCAGCCTGGGTGGTACTGGGGCTGGCACTGAGGGCAGCCTGGGTGGCACTGGGGCTGGCACTGGGGCTGGCCCTGAGGGCAGCCCGGGTGGCACTGGGGGTAGCACTGGGGCTGGCAGTGAGGGCAGCCGGGGTGACACTGAGGGCAGCCCGGGTGGCACTGGGGCTGGCACTGGTGCTGGCACTGAGGCTGGCACTGAGGGCAGCCCAGGTGGCACTGAGGGCAGCCCGGGTGGCACTGGGGCTGGCACTGAGGGCAGCCCGGGTGGCACTGGGGCTGGCACTGGTGCTGGCACTGAGGCTGGCACTGAGGGCAGCCCAGGTGGCACTGAGGGCAGCCCGGGTGACACTGGGGCTGGCACTGAGGGCAGCCCGGGTGGCACTGGGGCTGGCACTGAGGGCAGCCTGGGTGGCACTGGGGCTGGCACTGAGGGCAGCCTGGGTGGCACTGGGGCTGGCACTGAGGGCAGCCCAGGTGGCACTGAGGGTGACACTGAGGGCAGGCTGGGTGGCACTGAGGGCAGCCTGGGTGGTACTGGGGGTGGCACTGAGGGCAGCCTGGGTGGCACTGGGGGTAGCACTGGGGCTGGCAGTGAGGGCAGCCGGGGTGACACTGAGGGCAGCCCGGGTGGCACTGGGGCTGGCACTGAGGCTGGCACTGAGGCTGGCACTGAGGCTGGCACTGAGGCTGGCACTGAGGCTGGCACTGAGGCTGGCACTGAGGCTGGCACTGAGGCTGGCACTGAGGGCAGCCCGGGTGGCATTGGGCTGGCACTGAGGGCAGCCCGGGTGGCACTGGGGCTGGCACTGAGGGCAGCCCGGGTGGCACTGGGGCTGGCACTGAGGGTGCCCTGGCCGCAGGTGAGGATGTACTCGCGCACCATCGCCATCATCGGCGGGTTCCTGATCCTGGCCAGCGGCGCGGGGGAGCTGTACCGGCAGAAACCGCGCAGCCGCTCCCTGCAGTCCACGGGCCAGGTGTTCCTGGGCATCTACCTCATCTGCCAGGTACCGGGCTGGGGACACCTGGGGACACCTGGGGGACAGCAGGGGCAGGGGACACCCCTGTGCTGTGGGTTGGGGACACGGTTCCCTGCAGGAGAAGCCTTGGAACGGTGCTCACAGTGCTCCACGTTGTCCCTGCTGGGGGACTCAGGCTGGTGTCACCAGTGTCACCAAGCCCACACTGTCACCAACCCCACACTGTCCCCAGGGGAGAAGCCTCGGGCAGCAGATGTCCTTGGGGGATTGTCACCAGTGCCACCACACTGCATCCCCCATAACCCCTGGGTAGAGCTCATATGGATGTTCCTAGTGCCACCACACTCCAGATCCCCTTTGTCCCTGGGCAGGGACATAACCCCTGGGGTAGAGTCTACTCTCACATGGATGTTCCCTGTGCCACCACACTCCAGATCCCCTGGGGCAGGGACATAACCCCTGGGTAGAGCTCATGTGGATGTTCCCATGGCCACCACACTCCAGATCCCCATTGTCCCTGGGGCAGGGACATAACCCCTGGGGTAGAGTCTCCTCTCACATGGATGTTCCCTGTGCCACCACACTCCAGATCCCCTGGGGCAGGGACAACCCCTGGGGTAGAACGCATACGGATGTTCCCAGTGCCACCACACTCCAGATCCCCGTTGTCCCTGGGACACAAACCTCTCATGGCACCGGTGCCACCACTCCACGAGCATCCCCTCGTCCCCCTGTGTCCCCGCAGGCCTACTCCCTGCAGCACAGCACCGAGGACCGCCTGGCCTACCTGGACCACCTGCTGGGCGGGGAGCTGGCCCTGCAGCTGCTCTTCCTGCTCTACGGGCTGCTGGCCCTGGCCTTTCTCTCGGGTTACTACGTGAGGACGGCGGCGCAGGTGCTGGCCGTGCTGCTGCCCCTGGCCATCCTGCTCATCGACGGCAACCTGGGCTACTGGCACGCGCTGCGCCGCGTCGAGTTCTGGAACCAGATGAAGCTCATCGGCCAGAACGTCGGCATCTTCGGGGCCGTGGTCATCCTGGCCACCGACGGATGAGGGGAGAGAGGGTGGGAGGGTTTTTGTAAGGAGCGCCGCTATTTATTTGTTGATTTTTTTTTTTTGGTGGTGTTTGTAAATATTTGATAATTTTGGCGGAGGATGCTTAGGGGGTGGCGGCCACCGTGTGGCCAGGGCCCCTCTCGCTGCTGAGGGGTGTCACTGCTCCCCCCACACCCCCCAAAAAAAAAAAAGTATTTTTACTGACGCACTGAGAAATCTTTAATGTCTCACCCCAGGGTTTTGGGTGCCAGGGTGAGGGGCTGCAGCTTTTGGGGCAGAAACTGCTTTTGGGGTTTTGGCAGTGCAGGGGGGCTTTGGGGAGTGATTGGGAGGGAAGAGCTGCTCTGGGGAAATGCTTCAGAGGAGTCACTCTGGGGGAGCTGATTCAGGGGAGATGATTTTGGGGGGTTTGGGGTGGAGGGGCTGCTGCAGGGGAGCTGTTCTGGGGGGGGGATGAGTCTGAGGGGCTTGGGGGAAGCCACTGCTATTTCAGTCCCAGTGGCTGCTGGTTTGTCACCTCTGTCCCTAGCAATGTTCCTTCCTAAGTCATCACAGATTTCTTGCTTCTTGGGATGTTCTGTTGCTCACCATAATTAGCCCATAAGGAGGCTGAGATTGCACTGAGTGGGCTGAGCTGCTCTAACTGCTGGCTGCTATCAAAGGGACAGGTTTGTCATTCTTCTTCACACCTTGCTGATTCAGCTCACTCACACAGGCAAAACAAAACAAAAAAAAAAGTTAATATTCTCCACTTTTTACTGAAGAGTTGGATACAGAAACTCTAGGATGGGAACTGAGACTGGGAGCAGAGAGGTGGAGCTTGCTCACTCCTAGGTCAGTTCCAGCTGATCCAACAGCTTGTCCCTGGGGCAGGGACATAACCCCTGGGTAGAGCTCATGTGGATGTTCCCATTGCCACCACACTCCAGATCCCCATTGTCCCTGGGGCAGGGACATAACCCCTGGGTAGAGCTCATGTGGATGTTCCCATTGCCACCACACTCCAGATCCCCATTGTCCCTGGGGCAGGGACATAACCCCTGGGTAGAGCTCATGTGGATGTTCCCATTGCCACCACACTCCAGATCCCCATTGTCCCTGGGGCAGGGACATAACCCCTGGGTAGAGCTCATGTGGATGTTCCCATTGCCACCACACTCCAGATCCCCATTGTCCCTGGGGCAGGGACATAACCCCTGGGTAGAACTCTCACACGGATGTTCCCAGTGCCACCACACTCCAGATCCCCGTTGTCCCTGGGACACAAACCTCTCATGGCACCGGTGCCACCACTCCACGAGCATCCCCTCGTCCCCCTGTGTCCCCGCAGGCCTACTCCCTGCAGCACAGCACCGAGGACCGCCTGGCCTACCTGGACCACCTGCTGGGCGGGGAGCTGGCCCTGCAGCTGCTCTTCCTGCTCTACGGGCTGCTGGCCCTGGCCTTTCTCTCGGGTTACTACGTGAGGACGGCGGCGCAGGTGCTGGCCGTGCTGCTGCCCCTGGCCATCCTGCTCATCGACGGCAACCTGGGCTACTGGCACGCGCTGCGCCGCGTCGAGTTCTGGAACCAGATGAAGCTCATCGGCCAGAACGTCGGCATCTTCGGGGCCGTGGTCATCCTGGCCACCGACGGATGAGGGGAGAGAGGGTGGGAGGGTTTTTGTAAGGAGCGCCGCTATTTATTTGTTGATTTTTTTTTTTTGGTGGTGTTTGTAAATATTTGATAATTTTGGCGGAGGATGCTTAGGGGGTGGCGGCCACCGTGTGGCCAGGGCCCCTCTCGCTGCTGAGGGGTGTCACTGCTCCCCCCACACCCCCCAAAAAAAAAAAGTATTTTTACTGATGCACTGAGGAATCTTTAATGTCTCACCCCAGGGTTTTGGGTGCCAGGGTGAGGGGCTGCAGCTTTTGGGGCAGAAACTGCTTTTGGGGTTTTGGCAGTGCAGGGGGGCTTTGGGGAGTGATTGGGAGGGAAGAGCTGCTCTGGGGAAATGCTTCAGAGGAGTCACTCTGGGGGAGCTGATTCAGGGGAGATGATTTTGGGGGGTTTGGGGTGGAGGGGCTGCTGCAGGAACCTGAATTCTCTGAAGGTGCTGGATCTGGGCTGCGCAGGTGCCCCAGCACACTCCTATGTGAAGACCCCTCTGATCTGCAGGAAAGGTCCAGCCGTGCCTTAAAGCTTTGGGTGGTGTGGGATATCCACAAAAACACATTTTCAGCCTGGGGATGAGTCTGAGGGGCTTGGGGGGAGCTGCTTGAGGGGGAGCCACTTTGGGGATTTGGTGGAGGGGCTGTGGGTGTTCTGGCACGGGTGGGGGTCCCTGTGGGACCCAGGGAGGGGCTGGCAACCCGCAGGGTCCGTCTGGGCTGTGGCCTCAGTGCCCTTGTCCTGTCCCTGGGCTGTGTGTGTCCCCACCCCCCAGGCTGGGCAGGGCTGTGTGTCCCCCTTGGCTGTGTGTGTCCCGCCCTGGGCGGGGCATGTGTCCGTGTGTCCCCCCGAGCTGTCCATGTCCCCCCCGTGCAGGGCCGGTATCCGTGTCCCCCCCGAGCTGTCCGTGTCCCCCCGCCCTGTCCGGAAAAGCAAACAGGGCTGATAAGGGGCTTCCTCCGGGGGGCCCTGATGGCGCCTCCGGCGGAACCGGGGCCATAAAACGCGGGCAGGCGGCAGAGCCCTGATTGCTCGGGGGGGGCACCGCGGCTCCTCACCCCCGGGACCCCCCCGGCTGCTCCAGCCCCGCGCCTTCACCCCCAGACCCTCCTCTTCCTCCTCACTGCCCTTGCAGAGGTGGCGGCGGGCAGGGGACACCCCCCTGGCCTGTCCCCGTGGGGGTCCCCGCTGTGCCGGGGGGTGCAGCCCGGCCCCCCCTCCCCCGGCAGAGCCATCCTGTGACCTTTGGAAAATGTCTGTTTGCTGTCACTCGGATAAATGGGGCAGAAAGCTCCCGCCACCCCCCACCCCGGCCCCGGCCGGGCGACGTCTGTGACAGCGCGGTGACATTGTCGCCGCGCTGGGGTCCCCCCAGAGCCCCGCAGCCCCCTCGGTCCCGTCAGCTCCGCATCGACCGCGGGGACGTGAAAGGTTCGGGGCCGGGGGGGCTGCGGGGGCTGCTCGCCCCTCCCGGCGCTGCCCCGAGCCCGGCGCCGCTCGGCCGGGACCCCCCGCCCGTGTCCCCGCAGCCCCGCGGGTGTCACAGCGCGGCCACGCCGCGGGGGACACCCCCCCCCCACTGCCACCAGCCGCGTCCCCGCTGCCGCTCGCCCGGGTGACAACCGGGGCAGGAGTGGGGGGCGCGTCCCCTCCGGCCGGGGCTGGCACCCTCCCGTGTCCCCTCCGGCCGAATCCTGTCGCCTCCAGCCGCGCTGGTGGCACCCCACAGTGTCACCGCGGCCGTGTCCCCACACCCCCCTGGCCGGGGATGCGTTTGCGGCTGGGTGCGGCCATCCCGGCGGTTTTGGGGACCCCCTTCTGCCACCTGTCCCCATCCCAGCACCCCACGGTGGCTTTGGTGGCCCTGCCCGGCGGGCACGTCCCCGCCGCTTCCCTCCGTGCCTCAGTTTCCCCCGGAGCCGGTGATTGCTCCTTAATGGTAAATCCATACGGGATTAATGTCCCCGCGCGGGGGGCTGGAAAGGTCACCTCATCCGTCCTGGGGGTGGTGACAGCGCTCGATGGCGGTGGCGGGGCTGCGGTGACAGGGCTGTGGTGGCGGCTTCGTGCCTGGTCTGGGGAAACTGAGGCAGCTGTGGCTGTGGGTGTGTCTGTCCCCTCCGCTGTCCCCCATGGGTGGCTTGTGCCAGGGCCGTGGGTCTTGTCCCATGTGCCATGTTGGTGTCCCTGGGTGTGGCCGATGTCCCCGTGTCCCGCTGTCACATCCCGCGGCTGTCTCAGGGCAGGTTTGTGTGACACGGCTGAGTGTGACATCCGTGTCCCGTGTCCTCGTGCCACGGCTGCGTGTGACATCCGTGTCCTCGTGCCACGGCTGCGTGTCACATCCGTGTCACTGTGCCGCGGCTGCCTGTCACATCTGCCATGTGCCATTTCGTGTGCCCTGGCTGCCTGTCTCAGCTGTCCGTATGCCACAGTGACATGTCCCACCTGCGCCCATGTCCCGTGCCCGCCTGGCACTGCCATGCCCGTGTCCCGTGCCACACGCGTGTCCCCGTGTCCGTGTGTCCCACCCGTGCCCCCCCCCCCCCCGCCCCCCCCCCCCCCGGCTCTGTCCTCCCCAGCCCCTCCGCGCCCCAGGCTGGGCGCCGTGCAGGGGGACAGTGACAGGGTGCTGGCACGTGTCCCCTGCCCGTGGCGGGGGGGCCGCAGGGTCCTGCGTGCCCGTGGGTCTGTCACGCGTGAGGGAGGAGCCACCAGCCCCCCTCGGGCTATAAAACCCCGGGCGGGTGCAGGAGCCGCCGTGTCCCCGGCACTGTCACCCCACTGCCAGGCCCTAGCTGTCACCTCTGCCTCCGCCATCGTGAGTGCAGCGACGGGCTGGGCTCCCGGGGGGGTCCCTGAGGGGAGGTGGGGACCCCAGGGGGGACAGTCACCTCCTGGGGGGGACCTGTGGGGGCCCTGGAGGGGAGGGGTCCCTTTGGGGACGCGTGGCTCTCTGGGCTCCTTCGGGGTGGGACAGCTCCCCTGGGGACACTGAGGGGGTCTCTGGGAGGGAGATGTCCCCCGTGGGATACGGGGGGGTGCAGATGTCCCTTGAGTGGGGCTGGGGTCCCGGGGGTGGGGGGGGGGATGAACGAACCCTGGGGAGCCGGGGGTGCTCTGAGGGTGGGACATTCCCACAGGGAGCGTGGTCCTGGGGTTTGCCGGGGGGCAGAGCCGGCTTGGGAGGGGTCCCGGGGGTGATGGGGGTGCCCCCCCCGCAGCCACAGCCGCCCCTCGCCCCTGTCCCCCGCAGATGGTGACGTCCCCGCGGCCGTGGCGCGCGCTGGTGGCCGTGTCCCTCTGTGTCCTGCTGTGCCTGGCGGCCGCGTACCCCCCGAAACCCGAGAGCCCCGGCGACGACGCGTCCCCCGAGGAGATGGCCCGGTACTTCTCGGCCCTTCGCCACTACATCAACCTGGTCACGCGGCAGAGGTGAGCGCGAGGCGGGGGGTGACACACGCGTCCCTGTCCCCGCGGGGTCCCCTTGGTGCCTCCGCGCGCGCCCCCGCGGGGTCCCCGTTGCTCAGGCGCGCTCCCGCGTCCCGCAGGTACGGGAAACGTGCCAGCCCCGGTCCCGCCGTGGCGGAGCTGCTCCTGGGGGCCGCCAGTGACAGGTCACGGTGAGTGTCCCTGTCGCTGTCCCCCTCCCTGCGCCCATCGCCCCCCGGGCGGGAGCTGTGGGCTGCACACCCCGGGGTGGGGTCTTTGGGGTGTTTCGGGGGTCTCGTTTCCCCTTCTCTCACACCGGCTCTTCCCGCAGGTACGATGACGACTCCTCGTGGTGACCGCCCCGCCCAGCCCCCACCCTTTTCCCCCAAATCCTCCCCATCTCTCCGGGTCCCCCCAGGGGACTCAGGGCCAGCGCTGCAAGGTCGGGGACCCCCAGAACCCGGCTCGGGGGCGTCCCGCTGCCGGGGGGGGGGTGGCCCGACCCCTTCCCCTCCTCTCCGCTGCCGGGGGGGTCCCGCCGGTCCCTGCACGGCCCCGCAGCGACAATAAAGAGCACGATCGTGGGCACGGGCTCCGCGCTGTGCGTGCGGGGGCGCGGGGGGCGCGAGGAAGGGCAGGGGGGATGGAGGGGGATGGAGGGATGGACGGAACAGGGGGCAGGAGGGATGCACTGGGGTTGGATACTGGGGTGCGCTGGGTGCGGGGTAACGGGGGGCACTGGTGGGGGGGCTCCACCGCTGATGAATGTCGGGGGGCTGGGGGCATTCTGGGGGTGCTGCCCCTCCACCATCCCCCTGTCCCACTCCCCCCCTTTGTCCCCTCCTGCCACCCTTGCACCCCTCCAGCCCCCCTGCCTGTGCCCCTCTCGTCCCTCTGTCCCCACGCCTGTCCCTCTGTCCCTCCGTGGGGCCGTGCCCACCTCCTGTCCCCTGCGGAGCCCCCTCGGCGCGGGGTCAAACATTAACCAGAGCTGTGCGGGGGCCAGCTGTCCCTGTCACCCCCCGCCATGGCCCCTGTCCCCCCTCCCCGCCCGAGTGGGCACCTGGCCACAGGTGCTGCGTGGCAGGGTGACATCAGAGGGGACACGGGGGGATAAAAGGGCCAGCACGGCGGTGGCAGCAGCGGCACCGAGGACAGGGAGTGTCGGGCAGCGTCCCCTCGTCTGGCTGTGTCCCCGCGTCCCCGCCCGAGGAAGAAGGTGAGTGGGGACGGTGACAAACAGGCGTGTGACAAACAGGCGTGTGACAAACAGGTGTGTGGGGGGCACGCGTGTGCAATGGTTTGTGCAAGGCTGAAGGTGTGCAGGAGTGGGACACGGGGCGTGCAGGTGTGGGAGTGCGCAGATGTGTGCAGGTATGTGTGTGAAGGTGTGTGCAGCTGTGTGCAGGTGTGCTCAGGTGTGCACAGGTGTGCGTGTACTGTGTGTGGGTGTGCATGTAGAAGTGTGTACAGGTGTGTGCAGGTGTGTGCAGGTGTGTTCAGGTGTGTGAAGTGTGTGTGCTGTGTGTTCAGCTGTGTGCAGGTGTGTTCAGCTGTGTTCAGGTGTGTACAGGTGTGTGAGGTGTGTGTGTGCGCTCTGTGTTCAGCTGTGTTCAGGTCTGTGTGTGTGCTCTGTGTTCAGGTGTGTTCAGGTGTGCACAGGTATGTGTGTGCTGTGTGTTCAGGTGTGTTCAGCTGTGTTCAGGTGTGTACAGGTGTGTGAGGTGTGTGTGTGCTCTGTGTTCAGCTGTGTTCAGGTGTGTGTGTGTGCTCTGTGTTCAGGTGTGTTCAGGTGTGCACAGCTATGTGTGTGCTGTGTGTTCAGGTGTGTTCAGCTGTGTTCAGGTGTGTGTGCTCTGTGTTCAGGTGTGTTCAGGTGTGCACAGGTATGTGTGTGCTCTGTGTTCAGCTGTGTTCAGATGTGTTCAGCTGTGTTCAGGTGTGCACAGGTATGTGTGTGCTGTGTGTTCAGGTGTGTTCAGGTGTGTTCAGGCGTGTTCAGGTGTGTGTGCTGTGTGTTCAGCTGTGTTCAGGTGTGTGTGCTCTGTGCTCAGCTGTGTTCAGGTGCGTGTGCTGTGTGTTCAGGTGTTTTCAGGTGTGCACAGGTATGTGTGTACTGTGTGTTCAGGTGTGTTCAGGTGTGCACAGGTATGTGTGTGCTCTGTGCTCAGCTGTGTTCAGGTGTGCACAGGTATGTGTGTGCTCTGTGCTCAGCTGTGTTCAGGTGTGCACAGGTATGTGTGTGCTCTGTGCTCAGCTGTGTTCAGGTGTGCACAGGTATGTGTGTGCTCTGTGCTCAGCTGTGTTCAGGTGTGCACAGGGATGTGTGTGCTGTGTGTTCAGCTGTGTTCAGGTGTGTGTGCTCTGTGTTCAGCTGTGTTCAGTTGTGCACAGGTATGTGTGTGCTGTGTGTTCAGGTGTGTGTGCTCTGTGTTCAGCTGTGTTCAGGTGTGTGTGCTGTGTGTTCAGCTGTGTTCAGGTGTGTGTGCTCTGTGTTCAGGTGTGTTCAGCTGTGTGTGCTCTGTGCTCAGCTGTGTTCAGTTGTGCACAGGTATGTGTGTGCTCTGTGCTCAGCTGTGTCCAGGTGTGCACAGCTATGCCCGTGCATGCCATGTGCCAGCACTCCCTATCCCGCCCCGCTCCCGGTGTGACCGCGGTGTCGCTGTCGCAGCCATGTCCCCGCTGCGGCCGCCGCTGCTGCTGCTGGCCTGTGCCGTGCTGGCCCTGCTGCCTCCGCGGCCCCGCGCGGCCCCGGCGCAGCCCGCGTACCCCGGGGACGACGCGCCCGTCGAGGATCTGCTGCGCTTCTACAACGACCTGCAGCAGTACCTGAACGTCGTCACACGCCCGCGGTGAGCAGGGCCCCGGGCTGGCGGTGCTGACGTGCTCCCTGTCGCGATACACCCCCCCCTATCGCGATACACCCCCCCTATCGCGATACACCCCCCATCGCGATACATCCTGGCATCGCGATGTGCTCCCCATCGTGATACTCTCCCTACTGTGATGAGCTCCCCAGCCCGACGTGCTCCCACCACAGCGTGCTTCCCTTTGTGATGTGCTCCCCATCTCAGTGCACTCCCTGTCGTGACACGCTCCCTGTCATGACATGCTCCCCATCCCAATGCGCTCCCTGTCATGACATGCTCCCTGTTGGGAAAAGCTCCCCATCAGGACCCGCTCCCTGTCATGACATGCTCCCCATCCCAATGCACTCCCTGTCATGACATGCTCCCTGTCAGGACCCACTCCTTGTCGTGACATGCTCCTCATCCTAATGTGCTCCCTGTCGTGACATGCTCCCTGTCAGGAAAAGCTCCCCATCAGGACCCGCTCCCTGTCGTGACACGCTCCCCATCCCAATGTGCTCCAAAGCTGTCGTGACCCGCTCCCTGTCGTGACATGCTCCCCATCACGAGGTGCTCCCTGTCACACACTCCCCATCACCACCCGCTCCCTGTCGTGCCCCTCTCCCTGTTGGGATTTTTCCATGCAGGGCGACCCCAAGGCAGTGAACGACTCTGACTCCACGATTTCAGCAGGCTGAACAACTGCTTGATTAAGCTAGGTTATATTACACTGATATTATATAAAAACTATACTAAAAAATACTACAGAAAACCCCGTGACTGTCCTGTCACGACACAGCTTTGACCCAACTGGCCAATCAATCCAAACAATCATCACCAAACCCAATTAACAAATCACTGCGGGTGAACAATCCCCATAACGCATTCCGCGCGTGCCAAACAATGGGAGCACAAGTAGGGATGAGATTAGTTTTCTCTTCTCCTCTGAGCTTCCCCATGGAGAAGTTCTTCCCCAGGACAAATCCTGGGAGGGAGAACGATGTCTCTGTCTGTCACCTGGGGCATGTCCCTGTCACCCGGGGCCGTGTCCCCGTAACGCGTCCCTGTTGCAGGTACGGGAAGCGGGCAGGTGGGCGAGCGCTGGGCCAGGAGCCCCTGGGTGCCCCGGGCTGCTGAGCCCCAGGTAAGGGGCTGGGGGGCAGAGGAGCCCCCCATGGCTCCCCCCGGCCTCAGTGTCCCCAGCAGGGACAGCCTGGGGGGACAGGGGGGCTCTGGGTGGGGGGAATTCAGGGGGTCCTGAGGGTGTCAGGGTGGGGGATACGGGACCAGGGGGATGAGGGTGAGTCCCTGAGGGTGTCAGGGTGGGGGACATGGGACCAGGGGGTATTGGGGAGGCTCTGTGGGGAAGGGGACACGGGGCTGGGGGACCCTGCGTGACCCCGCTTTTGTTTCAGGGACACCGCTGGGGCTGAGTGGGTGAAGAAGCCCAGAAGGTGCAGCACCCCCAACCCCGGACCCCCAGAGCCAGCACTGACCCCCAGCAATAAAACCCCCCCTGCAGCCACCTCCTGTCCTGCCTCTGCCTGCTGGGGACACTGGGGACATTGTGGACATTGGGGACAGCAGCTGAGGGGGAATGCGAGTGCTGGGGACACTGGGGTGCTACAGACGCTGAGTCTGGGGACCGTGGTGATGCTGGGGACAGAGGGGGTGCTGGTGGCTCTGGGGGTGCTGGGGACACGGGACACTGGGGGCACTGAGGGTGGCCGGGACGCCGAGTGGCCGTGCTGGGCACACCGAGGGTGCTGTGACTGGGGACACTGGGGACACCGAGTGGCCGTGCTGGGGACACCGGGGGTGCTGGCGTTGTGGACACGCCTACGCGGCCGTCCCTGTCCCTGTCCCTGTCCCTGTCGCTATCGCTGTCCCTGTCGCTGTCCCCGTCCTGTCGGTGCCAGTCGCGCGTGTCCCGCCGCGATGCCGGCGGCCGCCCCCGCCTCGGTCACGGGTGAGCGCGCACCGGGGGTCGCTCCTGCGGGGGTGGGGGTCGCTCCTGCGGGGGTGGGCGCCCGGGTGCGCGCTCTCGTGGGTGGGCGCGTGTGCGCGCGGGGTCCACCCCCGTGTCCCTGTGTGTGTCCCCCCCCCCAGCCATGCAGCAGGTCCTGGACAACCTGATGGGGCTCCCGGGGACCCCGGGGGTGGCCGATCTTGACCTCATCTTCCTCCGCGGCATCATGGAGAGCCCCATCGTCCGCTCCCTGGCCAAGGTACGGCGGCGCGGGGGGCGCGGGGGGCGCGGGTCCCCCCCCTCGGCACCCCCGGGATGTTTGGGGGTGCCCCCCGTGTGTGCGTGCGTGTGCACGGGTTCTGTGTGTCCCTACTGCCCACACCCAGGGGTCCCTAATCCCCCCTGACATCCCCAGACCCCAATTCCCCCTGTCCCTGGGGGTCCCCAACAGCTCTGAGCCCCCGGCTCCGGAATCCCCTCGGCCCCTCCGAGTGTCCCTAATCCCCCCAGATGTCCCTCATGCCCCCCTTGCATCCGGGGGTCCCTAACCCGCTCCGCGGGTCCTTGGGGACACCCTGTCCCACCGCGGGGTCCCCGATCCCCTCAACCTCCGGAGATCCCGAATCGCCCCGGGGGTCCCGCATCCCCCCGGCCCTTGGGGGTCTCCGCCCTTACCCGCCGGTCCCCGGGGGTGTCCCCGGTGTCCCCAGGCGCACGAGCGGCTGGAGGAGCGGAAGCTGGAGGCGGTGCGCGGGGACAACCTGGCGCTGGTGCAGGAGATCCTGCGGGACATCGGGCGCCTGGCGCGGCCCGAGGCTCAGGGGGCGGCGGCGGAGCTGGCCCGGATCCTGCGGGAACCGCACTTCCAGGTGCGTGCCAGGCGTGCGGGACCCTCCGTCCTGCGCCACACGCGTGTGCCAGGCGTGCGGGACACAGGGGTGACACCCCCGGCCCCGCGTGTCCCAGTCGCTGCTGGAGACCCACGACTCGGTGGCCGCCAAGAGTTACGACCCCCCCCCGAGCAGCCCCGGCCCGGAGCCGTCGCTGGGGTCGCAGCCGGTGCCCCCCGACGCCGTGCGCATGGTGGGCATCCGCAAGGCAGCCGGGGAGAACCTGGTGAGCCCGGCCTGGTGGCACTTTTGGGGGCAGGGGATGCTGCGGGGGCGCCGGGAGGTGACGGTGGGACATTTGAGGGTGCTGGGAGATTTTGGGGTGCGGCGGAGTGTTGGGACGTTGCAGGGGATGGGAACATCGTTATGGGGTACAGGGGGCTTTGTGGGGTGATGGAGCATTTTGGGGTGCGGTGGGCATTGCGGGGCGCCGGGTGGGTTTTTAGGGTGACTGGGAGCATTTTGGGGTGCTGGGGCCGTAGCGGGGTGTCCGTTGGGGTGTCACGGGTGTGTCACGGGTGTGTCCCCGCTGGGGGCTGAGCGGGGCTGTCCCCTCAGGGGGTGACGTTCCGGGTGGAGCGGGGGGAGCTGGTGATCGCCCGCATCCTGCACGGGGGGATGGTGGCGCAGCAGGGGCTGCTGCACGTGGGGGACGTGATCCGCGAGGTGAACGGGCGCGAGGTGGGCAGCGACCCCCGGGCGCTGCAGGACAGCCTGCGCCACGCCAGCGGCAGCGTCGTGCTCAAGATCCTGCCCAGCTACCAGGAGCCCCACCCGCCCCGCCAGGTACAGCCCCGCATCCCGCTCCGCATCACACCTGCCTCCCACCTGCATCCCACCCTGCATCCCGCCCTGCATTCCGCCCTGTATTCCGCCCTGCATCCCACCCTGCATTCCGCCCTGTATTCCGCCCTGCATGCCACCTGCATCCCGCCCTGCATCCCGCCCTGCATCCCACCCCCCATCCCATCCTCATCCCGCCCCCATCCCACCCGCACCCTGCCCCGCATCCCGCCCTACATCTCACCTGCATCCCACCCGCATCCCGCCCTGCATCCCGGCTGCATCCCACCCTGCATCCCATGCTCATCCCGCCCCGTTTTATCTCCCGGTTCCTTGTGGATCCCGGAGTGTCCCCGCAGGTCACCCCGACCTGGCCTCCCTCCTTCATCCCAAATCCCCCCCCCCATCCCGTCCTGCATCCCACCTGCATCCCACCCCCCATCCCATCCTCATCCCGCCCCCATCCTCATCCCGCACCCTGCCCCGCATCCCGCCCTACATCTCACCTGCATCCCACCCTGTATCCTGCCCTGCATCCCACCTGCATCCCGCCCTGCATCCCACCCGCATCCCGCACCCACCACCCTGCCCACAGCTCCCCCCGCCCTCTGTTCCCATCCTCTGTTGTCCCCCTGCCCGTGCCACGCGCCCCCTGGCTGGTGGGACCCCCGTGTCCCCCCCGTGTCCCCCCCGTGCCCTCTCTGCCGGGCTCTGGTGGTCCCTGCCCTGTCCCCGTCCCCACACAGGACCCGCTGCCGGCTGCCAAAGGCTGCCCTGCGCTGCCCCTCCCCACGCCGTGCCAGCCACCCCCGTCTCCGAGGGACAAAGCAGCGCTGTCCCCGCGCGGGCTGTCCCCGCGTGGCCTGTCCCCGCGCGGACTGTCCCCAGGCTGTCCCTCTGCGGCCGGCGCGGTGCCACACGGCCGTGTGTCCCCGCACGTCCCCATGTGCGCCATCGCGGGCGCGGCGCTGGCGGCGCTGGGCACGCTCGTGTGCCTGTCGCTGGCCCTGGGGCTGTGCCTGGGGGTCGCCGTGGTGGTCGCGTGGGGCGCGGCGGCGGCGGCCGGAGCTCTCTGCGTGTGCGCGGGGGCCGTGCGGGGCTGGCTGCGGCGGGCGCGGGGGGCACACCCCGGCGGGGGGGGCTCCTAGCGGGGCACACCCGCGTGGCTGCGTGTGACACGGGTCCCGCGTGTCCCCCCGCCTTGCGGAGGGGGTATTCAGGGCGTGCGGGGGTCCCCCGTGCTGACCCCCGCCCTGTCGCCAGGTGTTTGTCAAGTGTCACTTCGACTACGACCCGGCCACCGACAGCCTCATCCCCTGCAAGGAGGCCGGGCTCAAGTTCATGGCCGGGGACCTGCTGCAGATCGTCAACCAGGATGACCCCAACTGGTGGCAGGTCAGGGGGGCCCTGGAGGGGTGGTCTGGGGGGGTGGTGGCACTTTGGCTCCATCCTGGGCCGCAGAGGGTGAGGGGGTTCTGGGGGAGATCCAGGGGTCCCTGTGGGCTTGGGGTGTGCCTGTGGGAGAATTCCTGTAAAGTTGGGGAGGTCCCTGGAGCTCGGGGGGTGTCCTTGGAGCTGGGGGGGCTACTGGGGAATTGGGAGGGTCCCTGCAGCCGGGGAGGGTTCCTGTGTGCACTGGGAGGTCCCTGGAAATTAGGGGATTTCCTGGAGCTCGGGATGCGTGTCCTATCGGGGTTTGGGGCTGAGGAGAGTCCCTGCAAATGGGGAGGCTCCTTGTGGAACTTGGGGGGGTCCCCGCGGGGCTGGGGGGTCCCCATGCGTGGCTCTGTGTCCCCAGGCGTGCCACGTGGAGGGTGGCAGCGCGGGGCTGGTGCCCAGCCAGCTGCTGGAGGAGAAGCGCAAGGCGTTCGTCAAGCGCGACGGGGAGGTGGCCCCGTCCTCAGGTACGGGGACATCGCCTGGCCGCGGGGACACGGCTTGGCGGGGCGGGGGATGGAAGGGCCACCACCCGAGGGGGAGCACGGCGGGTCCTCTGCGCCCTGTGACAATGTCCCCGTCGCCCCAGGGCCCTGTCCCCTCGGCACTGCCCCGCAGGAATTCCCCGATTTGTCAGGGTGATGTCCCCACGGCACTGCCCCTGCAGAAGATCCCAGCTGCCGTGCCCCTTGTCCCCTGTGCCTGTCCCTGTCCCCGTCCCCAGCTCAGGCAGCCCCTTGCCCTCGCAGGGGCCCTGTGTGGCAGCCTCAGCGGGAAGAGGAAGAAGAGGATGATGTACCTGACGACGAAGAACGCCGGTGAGTGTCCCGGGGCGCTCCCCCGGGGAAGAGGTGGTGGCACCCGCTGGGACGGGGTGCCCTGGGGTCCCTGGGGTGCCAGCCCTGTCCCTCGCCCAGAGTTCGACCGGCACGAGCTGCTGATCTACGAGGAGGTGGCGCGGATGCCGCCGTTCCGCCGGAAAACGCTGGTGCTGATCGGGGCTCAGGGCGTGGGGCGCCGCAGCCTCAAGAACAAGCTGATCATGTCCGACCAGGCGCGCTACGGCACCACCATCCCCTGTGAGCGTCCCTGTCCCCCCATCCCGGCACCGTCCCTGTCCCCGGAGCATCCCTGTCCCCACATCCCTGCACCACCATCCCCTGTGAGCGTCCCTGTCCCGTACGCCGGCACCGTCCCTGTCCCCGGAGCGTCCCTATCCCTCCATCCCGGCACCACCATCCCCTGTGAGCATCCCTGTCCCCCCATCCTGGCAGCGTCCCTGTCCCCGGAGCGTCCCTGTCCCCCCAGCCCTGCACCACCATCCCCTGTGAGCGTCCCTGTCCCCTACCCCGGCACCGTCCCTGTCCCCAGAGCGTCGCTGTCCCCTGCCGCCACCCCTGTGCCCCATCCTCGTCCTTGTGCTCATCCCTGTCCCCGGAGCGTCGCTGTCCCCTGTCACCACCCCTGCGCCCTATCATCGTCCTTGTCCCTGTGCCCATCCCTGTCCCTGTGCCCATCCCTGTCCCCAGGGCGTCGCTGTCCCCGGAGCGTCACTGTCCCCTGCCACCACCCCTGCACCCCATTATCGTCCCTGTCCCTGCCATCCCTGTCCCCTGCCAGCATCTCTGTCCCCTGTGATCGCCCTCGCCCGCATCCACGAACCCGTGGTGCCTCCCGGGCGGGCGGGTGTCACTCGGGTCCCCGTGGTTGGTCCCGGCCGGGAGCCACCACGGGGACACGAGGGACACCGCGGGCCCCAGGGTCCCGGCCGGGAACAGCCACGGGGACACGAGGGACACCGCGGGCCCCAGGGTCCCGGCCGGGACCCCGGGACGGGCGGGGGTCACTCGGGTCCCCGTGGTTGTTCCCGGCCGGGCCCCCGGGGCCCGCGGTGTCACTCGTGTCCCCGTGGCTGTTCCCGGCCGGGACCCCGGGACGGGCGGGTGTCACTCGTGTCCCCCCCCGGCAGACACGTCCCGGAAGCCGAAGGAGAGCGAGCGGGACGGGCAGGGTTACCGCTTCGTGTCGCGGGGCGAGATGGAGGCGGACATCAAGGCGGGCCGGTACCTGGAGCACGGCGAGTACGAGGGGAACCTGTACGGCACCAGGATCGACTCCATCCGCGCCGTGGTGGACGCGGGCAAGATGTGCATCCTGGACGTCAACCCGCAGGTGGGGGACACCTCTTGGGGACACGGTGACAGCCGGAGCTCCCCCCGGCCGCGGGGCTGAGCGCTGTCCCCACGGGCAGGCCGTGAAGGTGCTGAGGACGGCGGAGTTCGTGCCCTTCGTGGTGTTCATCGAAGCCCCCGGGCCCGAGAGGCTGCGGGCCATGAACAGGGCGGCCCTGGAGAGCGGCGTGGCCACCAAACAGCTCACGGTGCGGGCCCGGGGAAACTGAGGCACGTTCGGGGGGGGGGGGGGGGGGGCAGGAGGAGGGTACACGGCTCGTGGTGGGATTTCTCCGCCGTTCCTGGGGGTGATGGGGAAACTGAGGCACGTTTGGGGGGGCAGGAGGACAAACAGTTCATGATGGGTTTTCCCCACTACCCCTGGGGGTGATGGGGAAACTGAGGCACATTTGGGATGCAGGAGGAGGACGCACAGGTCGCAGTGGGTGCTCCCCACCATCCTTGGGGGTGATGGGGAAACTGAGGCAGGTTTTGGGATGTGGGAAGACACACAGCTCACGATGGAATTTCCCCAATATCCCTGGGGGTGATGGGGAAACTGAGGCACGTTTGGGCTGCAGGAGGACACACAGTTCATTATGAGATTTCCCCACTATCCCGGGAGATGATCGGGAAACTGAGGCAGGTTTGGGGGGGAAGAGGACGCACAGGTCACAGCGAGTGTCCCCCACTATCCCGGGGGGTGACGGGGAAACTGAGGCAGGTTTTAGGATGTGGGATTTCCCCACTATCCCGGGGGGTGACGGGGAAACTGAGGCAGGTTTTAGGATGTGGGAAGACACACAGCTCACGGTGGGATTTCCCCACTATCCCGGGGGGGGACGGGGAAACTGAGGCACGTTTTGTGCGGCAGGAGGCGGACGCCCAGCGCACGGTGGAGGAGAGCAGCCGCATCCAGCGCGGCTACGGGCACTACTTCGACCTGAGCCTGACCAACGATGACCTGGAGCGCACCTTCGGGCGCCTGCGGGAGGCCATGGAGCTCCTGCGCGTGCAGCCCCAGTGGGTCCCGGTCACCTGGGTCTATTAGGGACCCCCGGAGCCTCCCCTCAGCCCCCCAGCCCACCCAGGGGGGCCCGAGGGGGGCTGTGTCTCACCCAGCGGTGCCGTGGGGGGGTGTCTCTCTGCAGAGCCCCTCGATCCCCTCTGTTCCGCCCAAATTTGGGGAGGGGCAGAAGCAGCCGGGGGTGTCCCATGGGGGGGCACAGCCCCCGCGTCACCTGGGTCTATTAGGGACCCCCGGAGCCTCCCCTCAGCCCCCCAACCCACCCAGGGGGGCCCGAGGGGGGCTGTGTCTCACCCAGCGGTGCCGTGGGGGGGTGTCTCTCTGCAGAGCCCCTCGATCCCCTCTGTTCCGCCCAAATTTGGGGAGGGGCAGAAGCAGCCGGGGGTGTCCCATGGGGGGCACAGCCCCCGCCCCCCACAGCTGAGTCACTGCCAGAACCTGGGGGAGCCCCCCTGCGATTGGGGGGTGCGGGGTTTGGGGGGGTCCCCTCGCTGTCCCCCAGGTCACAACCCCCCCTCGGGGACCCCCTTCTCCCCTTACCAGGGTGGGGGTCCCTCGCTGTCCCTCGTGTCACCCCTTCCCAGGTAGCAATAACCCCCGCGCCCTGTAATTAACCCTTCATTAACCCTTAACCGACCTTGTAATTAACCTTGTAATTAACCCGGCTGGGGGGGGGGCTTGGGAGAGGGGG